TGATTGCCACATACTAAGCAGCGCAAATGAATATTACTCCTAGATTTTTCATCTATTGAACAAATTTCCATGTTTGGGTACTTTGCAATAACTGAGCATATATTTTCTACTTTGGACAAATCTGTTACTAAATCTTTTAAAAATGTAGAATCTATAGTTTGTTTCCAAGTTTGCGTAACTGTTTCAATAGCACGGAGATTGCTTAAAAAGTATTCATCTATAAAAACAAAAAAATGAATTAAAATTCTTATTTATGAAGTGTATTAAGATTTTACCATTCTCGCGATAAATCTCTTCCAGAAAATTTGAGTCCAGCGCTTGTGATGCTAACGATTGGATATAAACATCAAAATTGGCACGTAGCATGACACTTTGCTCATCGACAAAAGCTGAAGAGTTTGTAGATAAACTAGAATTTATGGCATCAACTCTTAGTTTTGATATGTGGTGATAAGCTGAGCTAACGGTTTTGGCTTTAGCATTATTTTGACCCGGTTTGTTGTCATTATTAGATAATAATTGTACCAAAATTTCAACAGCCGATGACTTATTTGGAATAACATTATCACCATTATCTGTTGTAATAATTTGGACATCAATTTGACGGTACATGTTATAATGTGATGGACTCCAACCAGTGTACTAAACACATTTAAAAATATATTAATTATAAATGTGATCTAAGTTTGTATTTACTGTTCTTCTTACAGTTGACACACTCTTATACATATTATCTTCATTACATCGTGTAAATTTTTGAAGCAATGATTTTCCGTCCACTCTCCATATATATTGTGGATTCATATGTCCATTATCCAAAAATTGACGTTTTAGTGCCACAAATGTACCAGACTACCCAAAATGAATTATAAAATATATAAAAATAAACTATGAAAATTGCACGTAATATGTATCATACCTTAAATAGTGTTGAATCGTCGAGATTATCATTATCATTATTATTATTATTGATTGAAGATGAGGTTGATGGTGGACGACTACTATTTGAACTTTGCTCTTTTGAGTACTTTTTATGACGGCTATTGATTGAATTGGAATTTTTAGATGCATCATTATCATCATTGTTTGGTATCCAAGCTGGATCAACATCGGAATCAGTATCTGATAATACATCATTATCATCTACATCCAATTCACCATTTAAACTACTAAGCAATTGTTGAGTTTTTTCTTTAGCCAACCGATGAGACAATTGTCTTGTAGGCTGTTGTACATGTTGTGTTTCTAAAATTAAAAAAAAAAAAATTAGACAAATTACAATAGTTATAACTTATAGTTTGGTATACTTTGTTTTTTAATCGGTGCGACAGAATTTGTTCGCTTTTTTTTCATGGTGTTATTATTTTTTTTTGTTTTGTTTATTACATCTACTTTATTTTTTATGACTGATGTTGCTGCTGCACTACTAGGTGCTTTTGAAGAAGATATCCACCATTGATCGTGTTCGTCATCTGCTGACAACCAACTGTTTTCACCATTACTGCCATCACTTCTGTCATCACTTATACCGGCTATAGATGATGAGGTTTTAGGTAATGGAAAATATCGTGGATCATCATCTGTTGTTGTTGTAACATTATTTATCTTCTTAATATCTTCCCCAGAACCATTACGAGATGATGTCTGTTCAATTGTTGGTAAAATCTTTGGTTTCGGTAAAGGTACATAAGGCTTAGATAGAGGTTTTGGTGATGACGATGCTAGTGGTGTTAATAATTTTTTTGATTTTTCATTACATTCATCTTCTGGTTTATCAGACACACTGCTTGTACCACCATGAATAAATTTGATATAACTATCAATAAATGAAGGTTTTTGAGTAGTAATATTTAATGGTTTAGCCCTAGTAGTGGTAGTTGTGTTAATAGTAGTTGTAGTAGCAGTGGGGTCATCACAAAGGTGACTTAATTCCTCTTCAATGTTTGGAACGACAACCTGTGGTAAAGATGATGTTCTGTTATCATCATTTGCAACATAACTTCCACCTTGCAAATTATTGGTGAAGTCTTGAAAAATGTTAGTATGTTGTCTTTGATTACTACCTTGTGATCGATCGTACGATGATAATGATGGGCTGGAAGTGGTTACAGAAGTAACAGTAGGTGATGTCATTGCAGTTGTAGGGCTATAATATGTTGGATTTACCGATGACACAGTAAAATTATTATGATGTGCTGGTTGTGAAATATTTTGATGTTGATGATTAACGCTAGATGGTGGCGGTTGAATATTAAATGTTTGAACTGTATTGTTGTACTGCTGATGATGGTGTTGATGCAGAGGTGGCTGATGAAATACCCCAGAGGAAATGTTTCCTGTAAAACATGAAGAAGTTGATACAATGGGTGGTTTTTGATGGTCCAAATTCCAACGATGATGGCGTTGGTGCTGTTGTACATCCAAATATGTATTTCCATTAGCAGAAACAACAGTTAAAGATGTAGGAGTAGGTAACATTTTGGTATTACCAGTGACAATATGTTGCTGTAAATGTGGCTGATTATGATGCTGATGAAGATGTGCAGGTGGTGGCTGACGTCTATTGAAATATTGACCAGTGTAGGACGATGATGGATCAATCACAGAAGATTTAGGCAACTGCTGGAGATGCTGGTGTTGATGCTCTATTATACATTTACTACCATTACCTAACAAATTTGTTGGTGAAATGGCTTTACCATTGTCAGAAGCCAATAACCTGGGTTGTTGGTCAATCATTTTTTTAACACCATAACAATCAATATCAGTCTGCATAGATTGTAAATTTTTAACAATATGCATAGGATCACCACGTTGAACTGGAGTCCCCATTAGTAAAATATTGTCTAATTGCTGTTGAGGCGTTTGACTAGCCGAGACTGTACTATCGAAATGGTAATATTGTCTATCATTATTATCAGAAGTCTTTGATTGTAATGGTATAGGCTGTGCTTGGTAATAGTTATTGTTTGCTGTTATGTCATTCATTACACCATTTGTCGTTGGCACTGCTGTACGTGTAATAACAGACAAATAACCTACTTGTTGAGATGCAGTTCTTGGTTGGTAACGTTGTTCATATGGTTGGGGAACGTATGCACTAGATACCACTGGCAGACTTTTATCTGAGATGCTATTGACAATTTTGATTCTATGCTGTGGCTGTGGCTGTGGCTGAATATCATATTGTTTAATTTTGTTACTGATATGAGTAGGCTCAATATAAAAACGTTGTGAATTGATAACTGGTGCTGTTAATATTTGTGCGGTGCTAGTGTTACTCGTGTCCATAATAATTTTAGAAGTTTGTGGACATGGTGGTAATTTTCTGAGTTGGTGACGATGATGTGTATGGTGTGGTACCACACGCTCATGTGGTAATATACCAAAGGGACTCAACGCCATACCAACAGTGGTGACATTTGAAGTGGGCATGACTATAGGAGTAACGGACACTGGTGCAGTAGCAGCCGTAACTAATTGATGAGGTACATTGTGCTGTTGAAACTGCGGTATTACTCCTGAGGTTGTAACCGTTGTTGTTGATAGCATTAACTGAGGTGGTGCAGGTAACATTGAACCAGTCTGAGTGGAATGAATCAATGAAGATGGTACCAATGTCGACGGCGATGGTGCTACTAGTATAGAAGGATATTGGTGATGTTGTATGACGTTGCTACTGTTAGCGCAGTGTTGCAATGGCATTCTATGATTGCTGTCATGACATAGCCCAGTGGTTTTTGTATTACTTATAATGGTCGCCACTGAAGGCCTGGATTGTGACAGTAAGAGTCCAACTACGGCCGAGGAAGTGGCATTCGCAATGGTGGACACTGTAGTATTAGTGTTGCTACCCATGATAGTGGAACGGCCAATGGATTCCATTTGAAGGCGATAAAACGATAATTCTATAGCATTTTCATCAAACGTATGACACGTGAATTGCAATTACGTAAGTAACTATGAAATTAATAAACTCGACGACGACGACAACAACTACTAGATAAACACAAGTACAGGCGACAATACATCGTACGAAATTAACGTCAAAACTATTATAATAATTTTAAACGTATATCATGCATACATATATTATATTAGAATATAATATTGTATATTATAACATTATATAATAATTATTATCGTGTGTGTGTAGTGTTGTTTGTCGATCGGACTGCACTAATAACGCGGTGGCAATTAAAAATAAGTAATAACACGCGCACAGTAACACACACACATACGTACAAAACACTAATCACTAATCACAGTGTACGGTATACAAAACGCACGGCGGCAGCATCACGAAACACGACGCGGTGCGCACACAAAAAAAATTATAATATTATTCTACACATTTTATTATTATTATTATTATTATCTAAATAATATCAACCGATAATGAAAACGAGTCTTCCGCTGCCGCCGAGACGGAGTGTGTGTGTGTGTGTGTGTGTACAATGGCTCCGTACACACGGTTTGTTAATAGTCGAGTGGTGGTGGGGTAGGCGGGTTGGCAGATGGGGGGGGGGGAACAACGGAGGCCCATGATAGTTTGGAGGAAACTCACCGCGGAAACCACGCCGCCGACGACGCCGGGTGGAGGTAGAATAATTAATTGAAAAATTAGACACACGACGATTTCAATCGTGAGGCACAGGAGTAATAATAATATTAAATAAATTATAATAAATTATATTATTTTATTTTAATCCGTCGTTCCAGCACAATACCTAATTATAATATTGTATTATTATGCAATTTAGAGTAGGCAGGTAAAGAACAACATAAATACGTTTGTTTGTTTCTTTATTTGTTTGTTTATTCTTTCATTCCAATACAGACGAAAATACAATGATAATAATACTAATGATGATAATAATAATAATAATAATAATAATAATATATAATTATATTTCGCTGAGTAATAGTTTTTATATTATACAAATATATAGATAGTATTTAAAATAAATAATTAAATAATTAAAAAAAAAATAATATACACCTATATTATTATATTTTAAATTCAGTAATTTCACACATAGTATTATATATATTTAAAAATTAATATTGGTGGTATAATGCGCGTGTAATATTAAATGTTGCCGATCGTAAACACTGCAGTGTTTGTTTCGACATTGTTTTCGCTATGAAATTGGTCAGTTAGCCGAAGTCCACATGGCTAACCGGGAACCGCTCCTCGACAGCGGTAACGGAATGGATTTCTTGGCGGTGCCGTTTGCGAGTGGAGTTGATACGGCCATTACTCCGCTGCCGGCGGACTGCCGTCGTACCGGTATTTTTGACACGATTGGCGAATTGTTGATGCTACTATTCGTGGGGGACGGCGAGGTCGAAGAGGTCGACGATGCTGACGACGAACAGTACGATGTATTGGCTGTAGACGACAGTGGAGAAGACAGCGACAGCCGTAGGGACGGCAGCTTTGTGGGCGATTTCGGTTCCGTCGAGCCGGGCGGTGCCACCCCTGAGCCGTCGACATCGTCATCGTCGCAGTTGTTGTTGTTATTGTTGTTGTTGTTGTTGTTGTTGTTGTTGTTGTTGTTGTTGTTGTTGTTGGGTGACTCGCCGTTGCAGTCGATCTTTATTGCTTTGGAGCCGCTACCGGACACTCCTCTGACACCGTTCGCTGAAGTACCGATGGAGTTGCACAGCGGGAATTTAGACTTGTCCGCGGCCAACGCCACGCCGTTGCTGCAGTTGTCTTCGTCATCCTCTTCTTCGTCAGACGAAAATGACGGCAACGATGCGTCCTCGATACTGGTCGTTCCACCGGTCACCACGTCTCGACTGTCATCCACCGTGAGCGGGGCTACATCAGCGGCTTTGTCGTATACGCCTTGGACAGCTTGAACGCCGTCTTCAATTCTGGTCTCCGCTGGACCACCACTGCTACCGCTTTCGGCACTTGGCGTCACGGATGGTCGTTTCCCGAAGGTAGACATTGGCGGCGCCATGGCGGTTGTGGTGCACCAGTAATAGTCATCGTCCACTCGGATTTCTTTTATCGCCTCGGCGGGCGGCTTGACCAGTTCGCAAGCGACCGGAACCGGTGCCATGCTGCAGGTCTCCGGTGAAGCAGTAGAGTTATCGATCGCGGCCACGGGCGCATTGCAGGTTACTGCAGCAGCGGTGGCCCGAGGTACGATAACCGCAGTAGCTGGAACAGTTGGCGGAACCACCGCCGCGCTGTACTTACGTGGTGGAGGCGGTGGGGGTGGGTTGGAGTGTTTCGATTCGTCATTTTTCGGTTTAGCCATCACCGTCGATTTCCTCCCGTCGTCGACCGTTTTTAACACTGCTGCAATATTTTTGTCCGGTACCACGATTGCTTCATCTTTGTCCGGTACCACGATTACTTCATCTTTGTCGTCTTTGACTACTTCATCTTTGTCCGCTTTGACTGTATCGTCTTTGTCCGATTTGACTGCTTCGCCTTTGTCCGCTTTGACTACTTCGTCTTTTGCCACCATAACTACCACGTCTTTCACCGATGCAGCGGCTAACTTATCTTTATCCACCGTCGTCACCACCACGTCTCTGTCGATCGTTACTGTCACTGTGCCGACCGCGTCCTTATCCACCTGTCCCGGGACAGACTCCGATGGATTGACTGTACAGCACTGGACGCCACTGTCTGGTGACGACTGCGCTTCGGCATCCACGGGCGATGCACCGTACTCCAGAGTGCGGTATCGTAACGATCCACCAAGAGTTCGTGCCGGCCGTTCGGCGGTCCCGGTTTCATTGACCGTCATCACAGAAGATGGAGATTTCTGGGTCGGTGGGGCCGTACCCACGTGCTCTGCTTCAACGCGGCCGCTTTCCACGTCGCCACCCACGATCTCCTTGTCCACGTCCAAGCGGCCACTACTGTCGCCCCCTTTGAATACGAGCTGACTCTGGTTCCACAGACGTTGCGCTTGTCCGCGGACAGCCGACAGAATGTTTGATTTCGCACATTTTGCTGAAATATCGTCGAATTTCGCCGGTGTCGCTACGACAGCTTCTCCCTCGGTTTCCAGTTCAACATGTAACCCGTACTTGCAACTCAGCTCAACCAGCGAGCGACTTAGATCCGAGGCTGGCGGTCTGCTCAGTTGCTGTTGTCCTTTATCAAACACCAACCGCATCGCAACCAACCGATCTATATGCAAACACAAATTCATAAAACATTATTTTAATTTGTTCAACCAATATTTATTGTTGTATCAATTTTTTTTTTTAATTGGAGAATAATCAATATCTATAAAGGCAAATATTACGAATTATTGAACCAAGGAATAGCATTATTCATTAATGTCTTATATTAGTTTCATTCGAGTTTAATAAGTTTAATACAACCAGTTATCAACCTGGTTTAGCGATACGACTCGACGATGAGAACCTATCTATATTATAACATAAATAACGATCGCATCGTCACGCCTGCCGACAATTTTTATTACCTAGCCCCGGCATCGCATGTGAGTACTTACCTACTAAGCATAAACAATCAACGGTGTTCTACGAATCGTGTTTCTAGTGAAGATAATTAAACCATCCGTACGTTATCACCACTTTATATTATTTTTATTTGTAAAAGAATCGTTTTAGTTTTTCGTAAGGTAGGTACTAAGATTCAGCTGAGTACTGATTAAATTATTATTTATTTATTTTCATCAAAAATAAAGCTTACTAATAATTAATAACATAACAGTATAACACATGATTCATTTGTTGAGGCCCGGTTTTACTGACAGGCTTAAACGCAATTCCATCGATTATGTGGGTAAGTATTAAGTTATACATACATTATACACACACAGATATATATATTAACATATTATTTTTATAATTTGTAAGCACGTAGATCATTCTAAGTAATACTTATTAGTCAATAAAAGTCAAGTGTTTAAAATTACTATCTAAAATATTTAGACTAAAAAAAAAGTAAGAAATCTTAGTTACATAATAGATATAGGCTCTGAGCTCAATTGTGAAATTAGTTCTCCTGTCAACATAAGCAGTTATGTACGCAGGGGGGCCTAATGGGCCTTCAAGGCCTTCAATTCAAGCTTGAGCTATACAAATTTAATATTTTAAAAATTTATATCTACAAATTAATTGTAGTTCTGTCAAAACTTGAATTTTAAATACTTTTAAAAAATAACGAAGCCTATCCATCGTTAATATTTTTAAATAACTATAATAAAAACTTATGTGGGACCTTGAATTATAATTTTAAGTTTTGTGACGAATAATTTTTTATTGACATTTTTAGAAAAAAACTAAAATTAAAGTTAGTAAAAACATGTAATGCGTTTATCACATATCTACTTAGTTAAAAATGCACCAACGTGTAAAGTGCCCAATGGATATCTTATATGTTATCACGTCGTCACATACATAATTAGATTCTTTCAATACCTTCGGTACCTGCAGAGCTGTCCTAAAGTCTTATGATACACCTACTAGGGGAAAATTCATTTGGTGGCTCCTAAGTCCTAAATCATCATAACACGATATGAATAAAAAATATTAACAGAGATTTAAGTAAAATTTAATCAATCAAGATTATTCCAACTCGTGAGTCATGATATTCTAACAACTATATTAGTTGTTTAATACTAAATAGTCAACTCTGAACAATGAATAAAGTAATAAAGAAAATATTCAATAACTGTCTGTGGGTAATAAATATTAACTATACTTGGAATAACGAAATTCTTTGAAGAAATTTGCTATCTTCACAGTTCACATCCCGGCCCGACGACACCAGGAATGTAATAAAATATAACAATTATTATCATTTAAAATAATCGAAAAAGTGGTCTGTTTATATAATTATATATAATATAATTACAGAATACATAAATAAACCAAAATTGTATTATTAAAAAAATATTAAAAATATTTTAGCGATGATAGGTCGTTGTGTTTTCTGCTGAGTGACATTAATTGTATTAACATAAGACTAACATACAAGTCTAATTTTTTTGGAGACCCTTAGAGATGTTAGTAAAATGGCGTCTAGGGAAAAATGGCCCCGTACTCCCCTCCTTTCTGAACGGCCCTGCGTACCTACCTCCTTCTTCTTACCACTTAGAAGTCCAATCGTAAGGGTTAACACAACGATACATAATATAATAATATAGTTAGTATTATATTACAGAAAAAAGTCCTATAAGAATTTTATTGTTTTAGGAAAATAAAAAATATTTGAAGTTCGCAATTTGAAAGTAATATGATTCATTCTATCACGTGGTTAAATATTTTTACAAATAGTCTAGATATACTATATACCTAATAAGTTAGTATTTATTATGAAGCATATAGGTGCCTAGTTACAGCACTGTGAAAGCGTAGCGAGTGAATGCCAAACGCTCAACAATTGTGAGATTATGACTTGTCCTAATCGCGGTTTTTGGTTTAAATATATCTTTTAACAAACTGTCAATGTTTTTACATTCATTTTTTAGTATAAAATATTCAGATATATCTATTTTACATTTTTACTGCATAATAGTTATAGTTGTATAATTGGCTTATATAAAATAAACGTGGTTTTATGTCGAAGTGTAAACTCGATTTTCTACATTGAAGTGTAAATGGGTGATATTATAACTATTAATAAAATGAAAGCTTAAGTCAAAATGCACTGAATCATAAATTTTTTATATTCTACGCTACAGTAGGTGTATATTATCAGTATACATAAATAATAATTAATAAAAAAAAGAAAATAACCAAATTTGAAAGTATTTTATTACAATCACAAAATTAATATATTCATCAACTTGAAAAGTAATAAACATTGGACATATAATATTTATTATACAATTTGAAATTTAAATCACATATTGTATAATAACTATAGTTTATAATATTAAAAATATGTACTATACATTTTATTTTATACATCATGATTTTTTATAAATTAAGCAGATATTAAATGGTACATAAAATGATAAATAAATTCTTAATCAGGTTCTTTTAAATAAATGAGAAAAACTAATAGACTAACTATTTTTGTACGATTAACTTTACGGTAATCTAAACCCTGAACTATTATAATTTGTAACTAATTATACCAAATTGACGTTCCATTCGTAGGGAGGTGTCACGGTTTATCGAAATAATTAAATATACAAAACATTTTTAGTTCCTGATGTTTTTAAATAAATATAATTTATAAGGGTATTTCAATATATGTATTGTTTCGACTTGGCGTAAATGTAAGATAAATTCAGATGCCAAATATTATGTATGAGTAGTCATTATAATAATGTGATTCGGCAAAACAATTTTAATGTAACATTTGTATATATTATATACCTAGTATATCTATTTACACAACTCACAAGTGGCTTGGCGAGTTAAAATAACACTTATATTAAGGCAAACAAAACGAAATTTGACGACATTTACTAACTGATCTTACAACTTTATTTACCAATCCAATAAAGATAGATTTATATGGACACCGGGTTACTCAAACATAAATGGCAACGAGGAGGCTGATGGGAAATTTGCTTGAAACGCAATAAACAACCACAATAGCAACACACCATCATTTTCATGACCATAGTTGATTTACGCAGAAATATAGACAAAAAGGAACTGTACTAATATGTGAAACATTGAATAGCACAATGTTACAAAAAATGAATTAAGAGAAATAAGACACTAAATATTTTGTTGAGCTTCTCAACCCAACTAAACAATTTAAAACATAAAGAAGAACGAACACTAAGTAAGCTCATACTAATTCGTCATATTATGAGAATCTTATAAGGTCACAAATAGATATCGTCGAACACATAGTATAGTCCTGTGCCAACATTTCACAGTCCACCGAGACCAGAAATTAATCCCACCCACCAAAAAATCTGTATGAAACAATCAGATCATTTTCAGATGTATCTAAAATAAATTTAGGTATAACGTATTAGATACTACGAGAACTGTAGTTATAGTAAAATATTGTCAAACAAGCACATGTGACCGAACTTTTACAGAATATGTTAACTATAATAACTGTTCCATATAAGGAACTGATATTCAAGGCGGTTTCATTGATAATATTTTACAATACCTAGTTAATTAACCTGGTTTATTTTTAACTGTATGTTATAAATTTACCTTAGGGCTTTGATAAAGAACAATTATTAAATATACAAACTATTACAAAGCTGTTCTTTTTTATTTAAATCAATACTACATTTCATTTAAGTGTGGGTAGAGTGAAGTCTTAGCACCCACATATAACAAAATATTCAACTTATTAGGTACCTATCTATTTGTCAAAATAATAAAGATGTAAAATAATTATAAATTATGTATTATATACGTATATATACTTTATACAACTTTAAAATTTCTATATATGTACTGTATATTGTAATAATATACAATATGTTACGTCGAGTTCATGAAATCGACAACGTCATTGCTAAATACGTATAAGACCGTCAATTTGGCTACCAATTTCATTGAATCAGAAAAATTTGATTGTCAATTTCATGAACTAAGCAGGATTTTTTTTTCATACTTTTTACAACACATTATTTAATGACACTGCAGTCCTGTAAACGATAGGCATAGTAACACAAATTTAAAAATATTTTTAAAAAAATCGGCAAATAGGAATATGTTATTCCGAAATCATTATTTTTAATTTAAATACATATATAAAAATAAAATTAATTAGGCCCGACGCGTACCTACTCACGGCGAATCAAAAGTAAACTTTTTTTTCAATTTACGTTAATACATTTTTTGTTTTTGTGTCAAAAACTTTAAAAATCTAATAAACTAGGTTCCCTTTAAGTTTTTCTTAAAGTACTTAAATAAATTGAAAATGCATAATCTTGATTATTTTTTATGAGCACTTGAAGTTCAAATTTTGACGAAATTAATTTACAGTACCTACTACAAACATATATATCTACACCATTGTACGGTTCGACGGTTCTGACTTTATAACTTGACATAAAATAACAATAATATCAATTTTATTTCATGATCCATACACCACAATTGTATCTCACTATCTCCGTGTGTTTTATGTAATCTTTATTAAGAAGGAACTTGTTTATATAAGAAAATAAACCGTATTATTTTAGAATGCAGCCGATTTCACGTACACGTTAATTTCCTCGCCGATTTCAAGAACTCGGCATAATATATATACTATATATTATATCTTAAATGTATAATGTATAATGCATGTACATATATATATTTTAATAAATTTAACTTGGGCTTATTAAATTTGTATACAAGTTAAATTATATATATATATATGTATATAACCTATTTATAAATTATTAAACAAATACATAATAACTTATTTAATCCACTCAATAGTTCCCAAGTGTTTCAGGTACTAAACCTAACACTGTAAAAACCTAGTAGTTCAAATTATTATATTATATTATTTAGACATCAGCTGTCTTTATAATTACTTTACCTTTTGAGCCATCGTTGTGTTTACACATATAGATTTGTCTGCCGTCTTCTTCTTTTGTTGACAATTCGTTTCCCAGTGACCCTTCGCCGATAGACGACGAGGTAACGCGCACGACCCTGGTCAATCCTGTTTTTGTAACACAGTCGCCAGTATAAGCATCGGCTGAAAATGCTGGATTATCAGTGCCACCATTCTTCAGCTGTTGGTTTTTCACAGGAGCCGATGTTTGCAGTACGAGATTTTTATCTGTTCAAACATATAGAGTTACATATTTAAAACAATTAAGACGATTTTACATAATAATTTAAATATACATATAATTATTTAACTATAATCTATTGCTATGAACTTTTCCAAGCACAATATTATATGTATATAACAAATAAACACAATCTATGTAATGGTTAGTAAATACTTAGATTTATTTGGATTGTTTAGGTTTCAATATTGGTAAATAAAATACTGTTGTCACCACTTGACTATTTTGTACGGAAATAGCGCATATAAAGACATCAGGAATTCGTCTGGAGATGTCACTGAAATCCCTAATCAGCGGATTCTAATGCATATGTTTTGTCCCAACACAGAATTCCCAATGATCTGATTTCTGTTTTGAATTGCTAGTATGAAACATTACCGTGTATGATATATTCCAAGATTTCATAACACTATATTACTATATGTCTATTGTCTATTGCCTGTGTGTAATAACTATTCGACGCTATAAATGTATATAATAATTATAATAATTACCTGAATTGCTTTTCCACCATAACGATGACCAGTCGTGTTCTTTTCTCTTACAGTAAACAAAATATATCGCAACAATTGCTAAAACTAACAGCATTGTGCAAAAGACAGTCGTCCACACCACGGCGGACATATTACCCGAGCCGCAATGCTGCTGCCCTTCGTCTGCCATCACTGCGTTTTTCGTAGTCGTGGTTGTGATGATGAATAATAAGAGTAGTACAAAACGTGTGAAAATGTCACTCTTCCACCGTGGCCGGGGCCACCACATTATTGGATTTTCTCACGAGCTCTGAAAGAAAAGTGGTTAAAACATTGATAAGTAAACTTAAGAACAAGACTATGATATTTAAATTTTAAATTAGACTGTCTACATTTTAGATTTTTATACGCCCTAACTATAGTATTACGTTAACTCTGTATACGTATATTATACGTACAACCGAAAATTGATCTTGTGGGTAAATTGACCAATTAACAAACACGCTTTCGTCGACCCGATGAAAGCGCTTACCAAAAATAAACTCACAAGCCACGGATGTGATACTGATGTGGCTATATCCCGGCACACCGTGTTTCTCTCGAAGAATGCAGTTTATCGGACGTGTCGTGGGTGCGCCGGGAAAGAGAGAACCTGTCTGCCAGGTACAGCTACCATCTTTGCCTACTTTTACAATCTCGATAATGTATCGTGTACGATACATAATATACACACAACTACACAATATATAAGCATGCTGCATATATATCGGTCTCAAGCGTGCGAGATGAGCAAAATTAAATATATATTTTAAATATGTACGCAAATTTAAGTGTATATGGTCGAACGCCTCACGTGACGACGCAGGAAGGCAGGTCATAATATGATATTAATTATAATAAAGAATTTACTCTTCTCGTTAGACGTGAACTGGTATAATGGTACACACGTTAGAGAAGACCATGGTGTACGGATATTTATCCTCTTTGTCCCACACATAATATACGTATGGCAAGAGCACTCCAATGAATATTAATCATAATAAATAACAATGATTGGCAAGTGATTTTGGAGCCGAAACACTTCCAGTTAAAAAAACGAAAGAAAATAATATTTTCAAGGGCATCTGCAGGCTTATGGACATATTTGTATTTTTTGGAGGGGAGGGAAAATTTTAATAATTAGTATGCTGTTGACGAGGTCTGATCTCCGCTAGCTCATTATTATTATACATACATAAAGGTACATACATAAGTGGCGTATACAATAGGAGTTTCTTAGGGAATATGACACCCCCTTTCTGCACGTGTTAATGTGTTATGTATACATTATTTTGTAAATTAGTATAAATTTATTAATATCATTAATGTAATTTCTTCCATACACATATTCATATATGTTATGATTTATGAATGTCTAGATTGGCGATTGTTTTTATATTATAACCTTTATTATGTACTTAAATGTATGTAGGTATAGTAGGATAATACAATATATTAACATGCTACATGCATGTATAAATACTTCGCTCTTTGGTTATTCCCTTCTTAAAAAATCCTGGATAAGGCACTCACACATATACGTCCATACACTCATAACGGAGAATGGTAACTCTAACGAAATAGTCACGATGGACAAACTCAACAGCCATATAAGGTATTTCATATTATATATGGCAAGTTGCAAGTTGCAGCTTGCAGTATAGGTGAATAGAAATTTTAAAATATGAGATACATAAAAAAATTTAATATTTTCAAGTTTTATTTTTCACAAATTATTCAACCTCTTCTCTACTATAAAACTGTTACAAAAACAATGACCAATAATAAATTGCACATAAATTATTAAATTATTATATGAGTACAAATTTGATAGATCTGTTTTAGATTTTTTAATTTTTCCGAAAAAAGCTCCACGAGCACTTCGATAATGTCGCCGTTAACAAAAATCCTCGTAATAATAATGCACGTGGCATACTTTGATATTTGTATTCAATCATATAATTCAGTTACACAGATGTATTAGGATTTAGGACTTATGATTTTACTAACTTAATGATATTGCTATGTATAGGTAAGCACCTAGGATAATATTATAAAGGCAGTAAAATACTAAAATTCCTTAAGTTCTGGTAGTCATACTAATGAGTGATGTACAATTGGTTCCCGGAAAGTCATTTTTGGAGTTTAAGCGTAAAGAATTTATTATAAAAATATACTTGAAAAGAAGATACGCATATTATTAGATTTGTTTTTTTGAAATACTGCATGCCTACGTTTTCTATTTTTAACGAATTCTTTGGTCTCTCGTTCTACGTCCCAGTCTCCCTCCTGTCCTCCGAAAAAAATCTCTACATACGCCCCTAGTATAGCCGTAGTATTATAATAATATATAAACTCGCGAGCCAAGGATACAGCCGTATAATAATGTGATATACATCATAATATAAAAGTAGGTACCTGCTACCACTTCATGTACCTACATAATCTACGATTATTATTTATGTATGATATTGGTGCGTGTGGGGATGCACTCGTCGGTGCAGTGGCGAACGCCGGCGCATGCAGCACTCTCTCCTGCGGTCGCAACCGTCATGACCTCCAACCGGATATATACGGCCGGCATCGTCGTCGGCCCACCCGCGGCACAATGTCACGGTCACCGTGCGCCGGGCGAACGTGTATTATAATATAGGCAATAATAATAATATGAAACTGTACGGATTTGTTGTTTTTTTTTATGGGTGTCTGGTGCGGTTTCGTCGCGGTGAGATACGGCGAGCGATTCGATTTCTTGCTTAAACTTCGGCGACCGGTTGTGTGCGTATATTATACGTATAATATATATATAAAGTAAGTGTGTACCTATATATATCCTGCGAGTCGGATCCGAAAATGTTTACCGGCTCTCGCCTCAGGTCCCCGAGCGATGTGTATACGACGTGAAAGTGCCGCCGCCGGCTGGTTTTCTACTGTATACGCACCGGGCTTACGAACACCGGGTAGGTACGGTCGTACGGGACGTCACCTGCAGGCTGTAGTACACATTCGTCGTACTGTACAGGCATGACCATATAGGAGGCTTACAACACGTCTTGTATACGTAGTATAGTAACATGCGAGATGCCGAGATGCATATTATAATTTCGTACCTACACCATGACATGTGGCATGTGCGTATTACTGTTGGATGTTAAACTTCGGCGCTATACTATCCGTGTGTCTGACCGATGTTTATAATTTACCCACACGACATATGCACTTTGAAACGCATAGTATATAATAATATATATTATATATAGTAGGAAACGTGACGACAGTGCGGTGCGGTCAGCTGCATTTCGATGCATCCGGTTTCTTGCATATGCGGTGTATTAATATTATTATTACTGTCATTATAGTCATAATCATCGCGTACACACGACAAGGGTTGTGCTCTAGTGTTGCCAGACGCCCAGACGTGCATTGTACATACAACCCCAACAAAACCTGTTGCGCTTGCGCGGTGCCATTGTCCTGTTGGCTGTTGCATATGTTATGTACAACCGCATAGATATTATTATATTATTATGTTAACGACTAAACATCACAATGACGGCGGGAAAAATAGTATTCTCATCGCGTACGCATATACAGACGCTCGGCGATTCGCACAACAACTTACTATTACGTATCATATTATAGTAATATAATTATTACCTACTTATACAATAATATATCATATTGTTTTCTCGACACGATATAATATGCACCCACTGATACTGATTTCACTGGCTGACTGCTTAATTAGTCTCGTTATGGAATTTATATCGTTGCTCTATACGCGCGGATAACAGTAGGTAGGTATATCATTGGAGTGCGTCCCGCGCGAAAAAGAGAAAATTTCGACCTATATGTTAACGGGTCCGTTTCAGTTTAGCCACTGCAGTTAATCGCGTATAATATACCTATGCATTGCACCTATGGGTTACCTATATATATATATTCTAATATATTTAATCTCGAACGCGACTTGCACACCAGATACATATATACATACATAATAGTATTAATACATTATACATATTATAAATTACGTTACGGATCGGGTCGCAGCCATATTAGGAACCTATATATCGACTCCTTAACTTTACAATGATATATTTAAATGTGACGCTCAGTTGTATCGGCGGTTTAGAGTATTTAGGTAGGCATGTATCGTATAAGGTGTAATGTATTTATATTATACTCACTCGAAATGTTGAAGCTTAATATGTTTCGGGAAAAACAAATGTCCTCTTCGTCGCCGTTTTTGCCAATACAGCTGCGAGATGACCCCGTGAAAATCTGTTTCGATCGGAAAAACAACAATTAAACTTCATATAATATGATACGATGTTAATAATGAGCCACGAAGCAATAAAGTTTGGCGTAACAATATTGCAATCTTCGTTTTTCCACATAATATAAACCGTATCTGATATTAAAATATAAAATAATAATATATCACTCGTAACCATAAGCACCTATGTGTATAATGTATATAATATTATGATATAATATACCTGTAGGTATTATATGTTATTATCGTTTTACTATATTATTTTATATATACATCGAGCAGAGTGCTCGGTGTACCGATACACACAATATATGCACTTACGACTTACGAGTGGTACGCGAGGCAATCAATTTTTTACCTATTAAGTATAAGTTGTGTACAGTGTACTATGATATTGCACTACCTGCAGCACGTACTGCGCGCAGACCGACGACGATATTGCGACTGATACACGTACAGCACACCGCACGAGAAGAACATGGTAGGACTGCCGAGTGCCGACCCCGCCGAGACGCTCTTCGCCGGCACTATAAAAAAAACATGCGGCGGCGGCGTTGTGGATCTCGGCGGAGCGGTGCGTGTAAAATTTCACTATTTGCCCGCGAGCCGCTTGCGGCTTGCCTACAACTTTTACGCCGTGTCACACACATACACATACACAATTATGCGCACACGCACGTCGCACATACAAGCACACGCACACGCAACGATTCTGGGCGGTGTGCGTGGTGTTATTATAATAGAATATTACGTAGGTACGTTTTTCGGGTATGTCATTATAATATCGTCGTCGTCGTCGTCGGCGGGAGGTGTACGCGGTCCCGCAAACGTTTGGTAGGCGGCGAACAACCGGTTTTCGGCTGCCGCCGCTGTTCGGCTTTTCTCTCACAGCGATATGATAATATTACGCAGCGATATGCGCCTGTATCGCCACCGCCGTTAATGGGTGTAATATATTTTTACGTTGGATGAGAAACAAAATTACCATATTTAATTTGGATTTTCGTCGTATCCTCACTGCGGCTAGAGCCAAGTCGCGTCGGCGATTAGCGCGCTTTTGTCAGCACTCGGCAGATGAATAACTAATAAGACTTAAACGATTTACGTATCTACGTTATACCTACGCGGCTACACCACGACAGTTACTGTGACTATTTTCGTCATACCTATTAGGATATGTACCACTACCCAAGTGGCTAGATATATTATTGTAGTATTATTAATTATTATATAGTGTCAACAACGAGAACAATTCAATATTTAGTGCAAATGAAAAAAAAAAGAAAATGTCTTAGCCATAACATAATATATAATTTTTTAATACCTACATATTATTATTATTATTATTATGCAGACCGGTATATCCTATATGTGTACAGGTTCCTACGAGTCGTTAATATAGAAAGCTAAAGCTGGCATTTAAACTGCAGATAAGCCGCCGGGAGTTGGGTTCACACGCACGTATAGGTAGAACAAATTAATGTTAATAATGTATACGATTAGTTATGCGTTTTTTCTACATTTTTTTTATGATATTACTACAATAATTGCATTACAATTCTATGTACCTACACGGCTATACAGGCATCCCATTTTGAGAGTGTGGCGTGTCGATCACATAATAATTAATAACAATAAATATTGTCACTCAAACAATAGGCGCATAATAATATTTATGGCTCGATGCGTAGGTATGCGCGACAAAACGCCGTGACCACTTCATAAACACTTAACGTTCGGCAATAATACGATAAACGGTATTGGGTTTAATATTTCACTCGGTATTTCATATTATGTTTTTAAGTACAAAATACTTGGGCACATAATATATAGCAGTTATTTTTTAATTACTCACCCCGTATCCGATATATTTTTATACTTGGATATAATATTATTTTCATGTTGTCGGCGAAATGCTAATATTTTTATTACTTTTTTATTACTTCGTTTACCGATTCAATTTCATAAGGACGCCAACCGAGACATAGATGGCGCGACGAATATGGCGTTCGCCATGGCAACTAGAACGTCTAGTAATATTATATCCATGCCCCATGGCGTCCACACTGGACCACGACGAGTTGCAAAACTACACAAGTGTTATCGCTCGCGCGGGCCGCGGAGTGCTACGAGTGATATCGGCGGAATACGTACTACGCAGTCGGGTTTTCGGTTTTGTATTTTATTCAGTCGGATGTTTTGACGTTTTTCGTTATTTTTTTACCCTGGATGACTATGAACACCACCAATGTCTATTGAATTCACCTTGTCCATTACTATCAGCAACTTTTGCATGTGCTCAATAATGGTTCGTTTTTCTATGCGGGATATGTTCTAACGACGTCCTCTCCCCGTTATGCGTTCGGCGTACCTTACTTACTATAACTAGATTAGTATTTTATGGTATCGCTGCCATGGACGCTACTATTGATTCGAATTTCCATGAATCGAAAAGAAAATGTCTTACCAAAACTGAGTACAATGCAATGGTTGACTGGATAGACTTGTCTATCAAAAATAACCATGATTTTATTTTAAATCGTTATGGTATGTTGACCTCAAACGCACTCTGCAGATATCCCCAGTAAGTTCTATAGATGTTACTTTATTTTATTCATTGTATAATCTATTCAATTGTGTTATTCTCGTTTAGCTTTGATAAAAATACTGTTTTAAGTATTGTCGATGGTCGAGTTCAACAATATGTTCGTCAACGACATCATAAGGTCTTTTCTAGCTCTTCCAATGCTAATTCTCCTTCACATTCTTCAGCCACATCTCGGACTACACCTACAACAAAATCTAAACTATTTATGAATTATCGTCAACAAGAACGCGTTAATAAACATTTAATTGATTCTACAAAAACAATGAATGAGAGGTAGGAATATTTTTTTATCCAATATAGTACATTTAATTTATGATGTTTTGTATATTAATGATATATTTATCTATAGGTACAAGGAATTAGTAGCTAATGGGACTGTGTTATCTCCATTGATCACATTGGCTGATAAGTTGCGTATGCCAGCTATGTTGGTCGCTAAATTTGTGATTGCCGATCAAATAAAAGAAGAAAAATTGAAAGAGAAACTTGATCAGCAGCTGTCTAACAATGATGATAGTTTAAATAGTAGCATATTAAATGATACAAGTGTTGGATCAACTGCTAGTAACTTACAAAATGATAGTGATATAGAGTTGAAACATGATTTAAGTGCCAACGACTCAACAGCCAAAAACTTGGATACTTCTTATAGTATTGATGAACAGTTATCTCAACAGTTAAACTGGCTCACCTGTAAACTGCGCTCAATGCATAAATCTGAATCAGCCTTAAATCAATCCGATAATAGTTTGAATAATAGTAATTCATACTGTATTCCGACAACTAATAAAAGTTTAAATTTAACACCACATCAATTAGCTATGTCTACTTGGTTGATACGTAAAGATCCACAGTTAGCCTATGAAGTATATAAATCTTCTGTCGTAGATGGCCATTATGGATCATGTGTGGAATTTATCAAAAGGTATGATTTATTAAGTTATTTTATTTTATTATTATCTTATCATATACATTGTTTTGCAGCTGCAACGGCAAGCGCTTTGAACAGATCTTGAAACAAAATATGACAGGTTTGACTAAGTCCCAGACAAACAGACCAGAGAGAAATTATACAACTGAAAAGGAGTGCCGCCTTCGTGGTTTAGATATGACACCCGATGTGGTACTTACCGAACCTATTGCCATTTTATTGTCTGATGTTGACAATATGAAGTACAGTCAAGAATATACAGCGACAAATTATGTTGGAGGAAGTGAAAATGAAATTCGAGTGTTGAATTGGATAGAATCAAAAGCAATGTTTGGCGGCCCTGACCAACTACGTAAATCTACCCAAGGCCAATTGTTTCCTTACTGGAATCGTTATGGCCCAGGAGCTGTAATTTATTGGTTTGGACATATTTTGGAAGATAATGACAAAGTTTATGGAGTCCATGCTGGTGTTTCAATAAATAAGAACCCTATCGACAACATTTCTGGAAGCATCACTTCACCATCTAAAGTTGATTCAGCAGAATTATCTGCATTTAATTTTTGGTCTAAATATTGTCTATTAATGGACGGATTTCCCGCCACCAATAAAATTGTAATGCACAATCGCCAAAATGGTTTAAAAAAGAAAAACTCAACTACAGTTTCAATGACAGTTTAAAATATTGTTTATAAAGTAATACAACTATTTAAAAATAAACTTACATCATGTTATACTATTTTTAATTTAAAGTACATATATAGTATTTGTAAAACCTGTTAAAATAAGAAAAAGTAATTTACAATAATTACCATTGATTATAAGCTAAACAGTTTACAATCAATAATATTACAATTATGTTAAAATGATTTTACATCTAAAACAGTAATATTGTTTTAATTACAGTTATGCTGTATTTAATAGTTAAAACAGTCTTACACAACTGATTAAATTGATTTCAAGTAGCAGATTGCTTATAAGATTTAATGTTTAAAATGCGAACTCCGCACATAGCACATATACCTTTCTTGTATGCGCAACTCTGACAATAATGTCTTCCTGGTTCATGTACCTTCTGTTTGCATATTCTGCATGCCCCAAATGAATACATAACGGAAGATGATCCTGTTTTGAGTGCAGATTTTGATGATACCTTGGAGCCAGATAGAGTCTTGATTTTTCCAATAGTTTGTAGGTGTTTGTTGTCCTGTTTACTTACTGAATTAGTATCGATAGCATTACGACACCCCTGTTTCCAGGGATCAGGAGTAGCCGTTATACCCAATTTTTTCTCACATTTCTCGCACACCATTTTAAAACAAGTAAATGTTAACCGTCGATGTTTGAGTGTTTGTGTAATTGTGTTTACAATAACACAATTGCAAAAATGTAAACTGAAAATGTGATAATTTCCATAGGTGATAAGGACGTATCAAATGATAAGGAAGTAAGCAGTGGTACCGTGGAGGTAAACAATTTATTCCATGCTCGAGAAATTATATTTATTTTATAGAAACACAATATTATAATATTAAATACGTACAAGTATTTTTTTTTTTTTTGGAGCAATATGGTTTGTATAAAATGTAAATAAGTACTTTATGAATCATATTATAATAATTAATGACAATAATATGTTGTGTAGAATAATAGTTTATTAAATGCGTAGGACGTAGGTACCTAGTACCTACGTTATTATTAAATCACCTATAGATTATATTTTATAAGTCGGCACGACTATCTTATTATATCTTTGTCGCGAGCTTATTTACTTACTATGATATATACTGACCACTAAATTAAGAGTAAATACTAATTAGTTTCAAGTATTTTGTGTGTTCTGATACACGGTTATTGTGTATACATAATATATGTCTGTGTGTGTACATCATACATTTTCTTCTTATTTAACAAATCGAGCATCAGAAAACGTTAGTCACGCTAATACACACACATAAAATATAATATAAAAATACGAAATACATTTGATGTTTAATTTATATTGCTTAGCACAACGACATACTGCACCAAATTACAACTGAGAAAAAAATTAAAAAAATATACAACGGCATTACGGCGATAAAATCGTATGCGCGCCTATAGGTATTATGACTTATTGCGTATAAATGTACCCTGTATAACCTTACAGACATTCGGACGGATGACGATAAAAACTAAAAGCTAAAGTATACAATTTTTTTTTTTAAATACTTAATTTATAAACTTACTTAACACAATATGATAATAATATATTATTATGTAGGTATTATCCTATTCACTAATATTTAGGGTTCGTGTATTTAAAAATGTGTGTGTGTATGTATGAGTGGGTGTATAAAGATCCAGCACAATATTTTCATTTTCACAACTTGTCGACTATCTCGTACTTTTTACGGAAATCCAACGACCCATCCCCGGCACCGCCGGCGCGTCGAGAGTCTTGCTTCTTGCGTTCGGCCAACCGCCGGCGCAGCTCTGCAGCCGTCATGTTCAGATTTAACGTCGTAGTCGTGGATGTCGTAGAATTGGCGGGCTTTGCAGTCTCGTCGCCGTCGTTTGGCTGCAAAATAGTATAACACACCGACTACGTTTAATACATATCATTTAAAAATATGATTTAAATATTTAATATTTAGAACAATTAGAACTGAAATATCCTGATACAAACAATGCCGAGTTAACCTTAAAACAACCGTCATTACTCATTAAGGTACCTGTCAACATTTTGATATTAGTTATAATTGGCCTATTTTCAAACTCAATGTGAAGAACAGTACCTATATGCGTGTTTATTTGTTAGCTCTTTTACAAATTTGGGTACCATATTAAAATTTTTCTGTGATTTAAAGATCATAATTAAACTGTAATATTTTGCATAAGTACTCATAACTTGCATAAATATTTAAATTTAATAAAAAAAGCCAAAGTACAAACAAAGATAATGTCTTTATCTATGAGTTTAATAATAGGTCAATTCACTTTAATATCGACAAACATATGATAAGTTTGGTTCTGCTGAACGTAAATTCGCCATGTAGAGAGTAATTCATAGAGACAAAACAAATAATGCGCTGACGGCTGACATCTAATCTACTACATTTTCAATGACGAATCTACATGATTAACAAACAACCACAATACGTTTATTAGCAGCAGCTGTGGTTGCAGTTGATTAGGATTTAGTGATGTAGAAAACAATACTTCAAAACTTAAAAAAATTGATGCCATCATAGGTACCTATAAATAATTATATTTTAAAAATTATCGTTATCCTGCTTGCAGGAACCTTTTATTCTAATAGACATGGGCGGAGATTTGATTAAATTTTCGGGAGGGCTAATATTGTTCAACACAAGATAACAGGGAGGGTTGTTAATAAAACAAGGGACTTCAATGCTACAACATCTGAGGTGCTCACAATAATTATAGTTCAACCTTCAATTCATTAGTAAGATGCACACTTCTATGTTAAATTGTATCGTGAAATATATTTAAATACCTATCATAGGTAGTAGGTACTACGTATACCTACAATATAACCATGCAATTTATTTAATTCAATGAAATATACTTATATACCTGTTTTTGTGAACAAAATTGTTAATAACGTCATCAATATTAGGGTGTCTTTGTATATTGTATATTCTATTGTTTCGCGGCGGGGGGAGGGGGCAAATTCCCCCTAGCAATGCCTATGCTAATAGAGAGTAAAAGAAACCTAAGTGCAGTTATTGTGGCTTAATGGATAGGTGAATGGACACTGGGAATGAAATTATTATACTGTGTAATATGCTTTACGATTTAGATATATTCTAGAATGATTAAAACACACATTCTAAAATTAATTATATCACAGAATATTGAAATAATAATATTTATCGCAACTGACCGCTTCACCACATAATATTATAACTGTGCGTGATAGGATGTCGTAAATGACGCACGATCTTACATTCTCGTTTTTATTTAAAATTGAAACTTCCGTAAATCGAAAATGTTAGAATCAAATTATTGCGTACTGTTGCAATAGACTGTGTCACACAGCGAGAATTTTAGGAAAGTAATTTTTGCTTAGGTAAGTACTTCGTATTGCATGAGTGTTTATTCAACAAAGTAAAACATCAATTTTTTGCTTATCAAGAAAATAATTGGTACCTATTATTATTAAAATACATACCTAATTGACTTTTAATATTTAATAATATATTTAATGACTATATAGGTACGTAATGATTTTAATTACGGTTTTTTTAATCGCACCTATTGGTTAGCAAAATATGTTGTTGTAAGTTAGTTGTAATGGACGACATCTTTCTAGCAGGGGACCATTGATATCCATTTAACTCGATTTTAGCTGTATACATAATAATAAGTTATAAGTAGGTAATAGGTATGGTGTAAGTATAATTATTGCAGTATAATATTACAAATTGATATTTAACACTATGGTAGATATGAGGAAAAATATACAGTTAAAAACCTTAAGATGTTTAAAATTTTACTTTCCGTTCGAGCTGCGGTTAAAAATATGATAATTATGAAATCCAATTTGTGTAATTGCCAATACTTATTTACATATTATTATGTATTTTTGTTATACCTAACAACTTATTAACATTATTTTTTTCAAATATTGCCATAAAAATACATAAATTATACTAAAAAAAACAATGAACAAACATAAAAAAACAAAAAATCCTATTTGAAACCTTCAATGCGAATTTATAACAAATATCAGGCCACTTTTACAATGCACTTTTAGGACAGAAAAAACCATCTAGCGTCTAAAAGCTCCCTATTTTGTAAAGTTGTTTGTACGGCAAAATGTAGATATATTGATACATTTTAACTCATCTTATGAGAAACGTCTTTAATCGATGATTTCCCGGTCGTGCTAGGTAGGCACTCAAATTAATTTGTCATCAAACCAACCATAGGTTTGGAATAATATGCGTTTAGTGTGCGTGCTTTAAGAAGAGTAAACTTAACAACGTACATCATTCAAAGGCCAATTAAAGTCGAGAATCCAGGTGACTATGTTCAACTGCCCCCCAAAACGTAATGTCGCGAGCGGCGGCCGTTTAAAAGTATGGGTTATTTGCATTATTTTACACGCCTGACCTTTGAAAATGTTTTTCGTCGGAAATTATTTTTATCAGTTTTTCACACTGCTAAGCGATATAATACATCACTGTGCTTACATGTACGTTTCGCATAATGTAATCGAATTATCGCTGGCGAGGCGTGTATAATATTTTTAGGTAGGTACCTAGTGCGCGCCGAGTTACTGTAACATCACGAGCGGATGAAATGTACCTACGTGTAGGTATAATATTATAATATTGTACAGGAATAGCGGAGTGGGGGCGTCCTCGACCGCGTTTTTCAAGCGTCATACGGCGATGCCGCCAGAGTCCTTGGCTACAACCGCCGTCTGCCACCCACGCCCAAACGTTGGCCACAGCGATATTATAATATTTTATATTATTAGTGTAGGTTGTTTTACTTGGTATATTATTTTGTATTATGAACATTCCCATGGCAAATCTGACGCTACGATTCCAAGAGCTCCAACCGTCGTCGTTCGAACGACGGTATGCGGAGCGTAGACTGCAACGACAGTATTATTATATTTTAAAGTACGGACAACGAACGGGATAAAAATCTAATGATTACATTATTGTTGGGCGACATATTATTAACGGGATGGGAAACTCGCCTGTTGCTTTGCTCCTACGCCATCGACCACCGCGGCGTTTTTCGGGGTCGGAGCGTTCTGTGGCTGCAGTGCAAGGCATTCGGGCGTCGGCTCCTCGGGCGTACGCAACACTAGGATCTGCAGCCCCATGTCAGCGTGCACTCTGATGCCCTTCTCCCTGTAGTACGTGTCGGCCCGGCGGTCAACCACCAGCAGCGAACAGCGGCTGACCGATTCGTCGTTGTTTTCGTCGTGGTCTGCGACGCCATCGGTGGCCGAGCCCTTCTTGATGCGGGCGACCACCTTGGAGTGCGTCTCGCCGTCGATGTCCACTCCGTCCACTTGCACGATCCTGTCACCCTCCCGGAGACCGGCGCTCTCGGCCGGGCTGCCCCGGTCCACCTTGCCGACGAATTGTCCACCGGAGAACGGCAAACCGCCGTTGGGCGACGACGCTGATGTTTTTGACTTTTCGGCGTGCAGGTTGAACCCATACCCGTCAAAGTGGTCAGGCCAGGTGCGCAACACGCACAGCCTAACGGTGGGCTCGGCCACCTGCTGCGGCTCCTGTTCGTTGTTGACGTCGTGAGACGACATGTTTTGTGCGACAGACGCGGATCGATGTGGGTGGTGGCGTGCGCCGATCGTGTGTCACGGGGTAGCCCGGTGTCTGACCGGATTGTCGGCGCTGGTGGTGGTCAGTTGCCTTGAGAAAAACTTACAAACGTCCCGTGTCGGTTGTGTCGTGGTGCGACTGCTCGACGCGAGAAAGACGTCCGGCGACCGAAAAAATAAAAAAACACCTGTTGGCGGTAACTGCTAGACGAGAACTGTTAGCAGGACCTGGACGCAGTATTGCAGTAACGGGCGCTGTACACGGCACAATATTATACGGCTAATGCACCAGATGTGTGTGACAGGTGGCGGCCACGATTACGGATTATTATGCGTTACATGCTCACGTCCGTTGCCAACATCCACACGATGATGTTATCACGTCTTATCACTCTAGTACCAAATAGTAAATACAATAAAATACATAGATATTATGATAAAATATAAAATATTGTAAAATGTCATATTTTAAATTTTGTAGTAATAATTGCTTGTGCTTGTTGCTAACTATGCAAATCGCATATTATTAAAACATTGGTATATTACGACGATAAATTACCTATAATAGGCTGAAGTAATATTTAAATGAAAACATCATTATTATTGATAAGTAATATTTATTTTAAACACACATACATTGGTTGCATACTCTAGAAATTAAAAAAAAAAGACCAGAGTCCTATATTCCAGTTGCACTTACAGCTCTGATTTATTTACATTATTAAATGCTCAATGTTTCTACTAGAGCAATTACATCTGAGTGTTTGAACGTTACATCTCCTTCATTGAACGATTTTAAAAGTTTTTCTTTATCTGCAACTCCAGAATCTATTCCATAAAATATACGCAACTGGTTGACTAAGCAAGCTGCTTCAGCAGCAGATAACAATTTCCCATTATATGTAGATCTCATCAAGACACACTGTTCATCATCAGACCCCCTGTGCTCAATAGCTTTACCACTGTTGCAAAGGTCTGTATAATATTCAATAGTCATACATTCGGGTGCGTTTTCCTTAAACGTCTAAAACATAATATAAACAAACAATTAGGTTCCTAATTGTTTAATTTATTCAGAAAAAAACATTAAAAGAATTGTTTTTTTATTAATATTGTGCTGCATAAATATTCATGTAAATTTAATCTATTATATTAATAACTGAATTCCTATTTACTATACTGAAACAAATTAAAAACAATCTTCATAATTTAACATCGAGATTTTTTACAATGTAATTTAAATTTATCTTCAGCAGTTTTAAATTATTAGCTATAATTATTTAAAAAACAAACTAGATATTTCAAACTAAATTAACTAAATAACACATGTAACACTGAAAAGAAAAGTAATTTAAAATTAATTCATTTTTTAGCCACTGTTATTGAAACAAAATGTTTAAATAATAAATTACAACATATTGGCATTTCCCATCACAATTCAATTAAAATGTTTACCTGATAACTGATCAATGGTGTCAAGTGGACTGTGCAATTGGACATTGAATTTTCTTGATAGTGCTGGAACTGGGCAAATATGAACTCGTAACCACTAGTGTTGCGTGGAAGTGGTAATAAAAACTGAAAATATAAGCTTTATTGAAACACCTGTATTTGGGAATTTAAGTTATGAAATCACTCAAGTACCATGGGATATTTAATAGACTGATTATAAAATTTTTCAAACTGATTTAGTGGAATAACAGCACTTAGAGTTTCATCACGTGTCCTATGGTATGCCAGCCATATCTCAGATACATCTCGCCATGATTTGTCGCGTAACAATTCTATGTTCATAACTTGTTCTAGAGTCTTTAAGTCAATATAAAATGTTGACATTAGAGTATTATACAATTGTTAAGATATTTCATATACTTTTGGTTTGACTAATAGTGTCTGAGATGGTCTTCGTTTTGGTTTTGCTTGTGGTTTAGTTTCAGTACTGTCAATCTTGTCAGACACTGTATCTGTAGTTTTTACTACTACCGCATCAACAGTATCAACAGTCTCTCGTTGTTTTTCACGTAAGCGTTGTAATGCTTCACGGTAGGCACTAGCATTTTTTCTACAAAACAAAAAAATAAAATATTTTATTATAATTTGGATTAATTAGATATATCCTTTTTTTTCTTACTTTTTAAGATCTCGCAATTTTTCGGCATACGCTGTGTAGTATGGGTTGCTTTTTAAAGTGTCATCTCCATCACTATCTGAAGAAGAGGATTGTTGTTGGAATGAACTAGATTTTCTATTGGATTGAGTCAGTCCATTGTTATTAACCACTGCATTTGAAGCAACCACTTTTAAAGCATTACTCGAAGTTGCTATGTGTTGCTGAAACTTTAAAAGGCTATTATGCAACATATGACGGTTTAACGCCATCAGCATTTTGGTGACGATTGATGATTAATTAATCAATAAGGTGGTTAGAAACGAATCAAATATTGTATTAAATAATAACGAGCAGAGAGCTGTATGAACTATTAAGTTTAAAGAAGGCTATAATATTACATCTATAAAAATTTTAGTCTCCAGTTTTGATAACTGATATTATCAAATTGATAACATAATAGTTTAGTGATAATAACATAATTGTACGTCGATCGAGTGTACTTGCCTTATTATAATATACTTACTCGATACGAAGTTTGTTCTATGATATAAGACAGGACAGGTGGATAATATTATATTTTATAGGCTTGCATTGATAATTTGTTCATTGATTGTAGTGAACAATAAGTAACAACCAGCAAACGCAAGTTTTATACAGTCATACTTCATATAATAATGTATTGTAGACTATAGGTAATCCATAGTTCAATATTAGTAAATTTTTAATACAAAACCAAGTAACGATTAATGACTAATAATCAATTTTACAAATTTCTACTAATAAAGTATTAACAAAATATTGTTTGAACTATAGAAATACCTAACAAATTGAATGACGAAGCATTTATCAAAGTCAATTCTCAACTCAACATTGTACTTCAACGATGACATACTAAAAGTAACTAGAGTTCCATTTTCCAAAACTTAAAATAATTTCAGAGTTGTTAGCTAAAGCAAAAACCCTTTTTCTTTAAAGATTATTACTAAGTATTATATTGGTTGGAACAGCGTTTCTCAAACTCTTGTTTGGGCTGGCCTGGTAATTTATATTTTTACCTTTGTGACCCACCAAAATATTTTACATTTATCATTGTGCAATAAAAGGCAAAATAAAACATATTTGAATCATCTCTCCTGTCTCTCTGACTTCATCTTCATACTTAATAGTTTAAATTATCAAACGAAAATGATAAACAACAAATTTAATATGAGAATTTCATTAAATTCTGCGACCTGGTATTAAATTTTCATGACCCGGTTGTGGGTCACGACCCACTATTTGGGAAACGCTGGGTTAGAACATGGAACACGAATAACTATGTCTTGTTAATGTAAATATATAAACAAAATTTATTTGTTACAGTATACATTAAAGGCTGTAAATCAGTATTAGGATAAGAAATAACATAAAGTTATCTATATTTCAATTGTTTTGTAAGCCATTGATGTGTTAAATTATATTTACAGTTGTACATTTTCTGCCCAACAAAACAATAATAAACAAAATTAAATTAAAGTCTGTTTCGTTAGAAACAGCCAAATTTCATTACATTGTTCTATGTGTAGTTATAAATTAATACTATGTTCGTCATACCTAATACCTTCTATACAAAATCCAAATTGTAAATGTTTATATTTTAGGGAGTCTTCACGTTTAAATTCAAAATGTTCATTTTTCATCCATCTCTAATTTATTATAAAATATGTTTTAAATATTATTTTTTGTTACTTAATGTCCATCAGTGATGGGTATGAAAAACAAAAAAAATTGGCGTTGCTCAAATTATTTGAGATGACCTACCCTTCATATTATTGTTTACTGGCTTAAAAAACGTCCTATTTTCCTTCTACCAGTACCTCAATACCCAATATTCATCTGGTGTGTTCTTCTCTACACTAGTTGTCGTTCACACAAAAATATTGCTAGTAGTTATCTGCATTTCATTGAGCCGCTACGTTAATAAAATCTAATAGAAGCGGAGAACTACTCGATAGATGAGGCAAGGGTGGTATAACCTAATATGTGTATCACAAAGTTGTGATCATACCTATTTATTTTGTCATATACACACCCATATTTAAGATGTTGCCTGAGTAACACTTGGACCCAATGTTACACACCAATGTTGTTGATTATGAATTGCAATTTACTTTGAATAGAAGAAAAAAATAATAATAATAAAGTAAAGAAAAGAACATGTTTTAGAGGATATGATACCTTTGTGTGGTGTCTCCACCGTACAGAATGTACGATATGGCACTTATTAAAACAGTAGAATCTATTTTGTGTTGTTAATTTCAGTATTATAGTAAATTAATCTGTAATAAAATTAGAGGTGAGAATATTATCTGTGTTTCCTCCTAGTTTTTGAGATTTTTTCTAAATAATTTATAACCAAATGTGCTAATACAATTAGAATTAATATACTAAGAAATTATTTATTTTTAAATATAGAATATAATTGCATGGTAATGGTATAAAGTTATAATAACAATAAAATCAGTTCTCTAATTATGAACAAAATATTTATTAATATATAGCATCATTTTTATCAAAACTAAACTTAATTAATATTTTGTACTCATAATACTAGTAAATAGTAAATAAAGTAAAATATATTTAATGGCTAAAAATAAAACTTATACATTATATATATATATATATATATATGTATGTATAAAATATAAGTCAACAAAGTTTTTTAATTTTTTTTAATTAAACAGTAATGAAAACATTACGGATTATAACCATCTTACTTTAAAATATTTCATTGTGGTAACAAAAATGTATTTAGTCATGAGAATTTTATGTTAATTATATGAAAGACACTAACCATTCACCCACCCTTAAGAGTATGTCAGCATGGTGTTTCATTTTTTAATCTAGCCCACGCTTAGTGATTTGAGAGAATATTCTAAGATTTTTTTTATAAATATTTATAAAATATTGTATACCTGTGTTTTTATTTTTAATTTAAGCAATTATTTTCTACTTTTTACAAATTATGTGTGATCAAAAAGTGTAATACTAAGACTTGTGGGTCAAATACATAATTAATAGTACAGTTATTGCTTAGTAAGCAATAACAATTATTTATCTAGATTTAGAATATAATAAGTTGTGAGTTTATCTGATTTTGGCTCAATTTAATTAAAATGTGTAGAATGTTAGTAAATGCTATGTTCGGTTTTAACCATTTGTCCTTTTTTGAGTCTCTAACATTAAATCTTGAAGAAATAAACGAAAATTACTAAATATTCTCGCAAAAGATTACAACTGTAATTTAAAAACACTGCTCAAAGGCAAGATGGATAAAATGCGTTCCCGCAAAACATTTTTTGTATGTTTAAACAAAATTGTTGAATCAAATATTGCACTGACATCCTCCCAACTAACTCTATTAGTATAATAAAAATAAAATAATTATTAATTCCCTCAGTGGCAGATTTAAAGGGGGGGAAGAGGGGCCTGGACCTCCCATGGCCAATCAGATGTCTTTGCATATGATTTGACATGAATTTATGAGTAACAAAATAACATAATTATAACATGTTTGGCCCCTCCTAAAACAAAATCATAGATCCACCACTGAATTCCCTAATAAGTGTACATTTTTAATATGAAGTGTGTACTTGATTGTATTCATACAACAAAAATAAATATGATACACGTTTAAAATGATTTAATAAATTTCAGCCATTAGGAGCACAACATTTGCTGACCATCCTGTGAATGGCCTAGTTCCTTTGCCCTTATGAATTAAACCTAATATGTTATCTGATATAGGTTCATCATCATATTGTTCCCATACATAACCAGTACGCTTCCATTCTTTGTACACACATTGAATCACATCATTGCGTATTTTTTCATATAATCTGGTACATCTTTGCTTAGTTTTCACATCTAAGTACCGTATTGGTTCTAAGTTTTCGTATTCATCATTATTTCCATAAGTGGACTCGGTGTCTTCAGGAAGATTGGCATAGTAGTGTAAAGATGAACATGCCAAGTATTGCATATTAATCCAAACAGAGCCACGCCAGTACGGAGGGTCATGCATAGTATTTCTTACTCTGTATAGAGGTGAACTTTTTGACAAAGACCTTAAGCCACAACGTTTAGTCAGTAAACTATGATTTCCAGTACTGCCATTATTAATTCCTTCGATTAAGTCTAGAATTGCATTTAAACGTTGGGAATTCTTCACTAATCGAAAAAACATAGGAAATAGTGCATTATACCCCACATGTGAGTCAACAAAACGCCACTTAGGGGAACTCTTTCGTCCCACTACCCTCACAGAATCTTGTATTCCTTTTAATTTTTCTAATCTAACATCATCTGTGTGTATACCATAATCAGCATACATTGGAGTTTTAGATGTGTCGTTGTTTCCCTGTGCCCAATGCAAACGATCCAAACTTTCAACCAACATCCAAAAATGTATTGAATATTTATTTTTAAAATTAGTTATACTTGTTGGTTGTAGATAATTGAGAAGATTATTCATTATTCGTGCACCGTGGGCCATCCAGCAATGTAAATCAACATGGCGTTCAGAAGCATCAAAATCAAAATCATTTACTCTATTTAAAATATTATCTATGTTTGAAGTTCCATCATCGTTGACAGGATGAGATGATCTAGGGTAATCGTCCATTCCCGAACTCATTGTTTTTGGATTCAATTCCTTGTTAGTCATTGCATCACGTCCTCTCCAACGATATCCAATAAATTTTTTATCTAGATGAAACTCATTAGGATTGGACGAATGTTTGGTATAATTATTTACAGCCTTTTGAGTACGGTTAAACCATGTATACCATGCTTTTAGTCTTGGATATAATTTTTTTAATGTAGTATCAACTTCATCAAAGTTTAATTGTTCTTTATTATTAGATATATCATCTTTGGCCTGACGACGTTGTTTAATCTGTCTTAGTAATAAGTCAACAGTAAGTAACAGTGCCGGTGGATTGGCAGCTCGAGAACTTTGAACCACAAATTCTTCTGGCACTCTGGATCTGGCTTCTGAGCCTAGAATCTTTGAATAAATATATTTAATTAAAATCAAAATTAATCAGTATACTACAAGTCAACAAAATAAATAATCAAGTGACAAATATATTCTCACCTGTTCTCTAGGTATCCATCCCTGGTGATTTAACAAATCCATCCAGTGGCCTAAAATTTGCAGTTGTAACTCAACACTCCATCTTCCCAACATTAGACCATGAAAACCATCATCCCACAAAAAACCTCTAGGGAACTGTGATCTCGATGGGACTGCCGTAAGAAGTCCAGCTCTCCAATACTTTACGGCATCCACTATATCTATTTCTGATACACCGCCATTGCTTAAATTGTTCTCATCATCGTCATCTCTAACTAGGGATGATCCATAAAAGTATCCTAAGCTTCCAGCCATGTTACTAAAAGTAACTTTTGCAAAATCTAGCAATAAAGATTTATCAGCAGTATTATCTTTCATTTTAATTGGAAATGTATTTTGAAATTTTTGTTGAAATCTATTACTGTATTCAGTATGGACTGAACTAAATTTATTGCCCACCAATATAGGTGATAAGTCTTTAAATAAAGCTTTATTTATGTATTTATTTTTTTGAGTATATGCTACATCTAAAGAATAACTTCTAAATTTAGATGTAATATCTTTATTAGTATTAGGACTGATTGTTACTTGTAAAGCAACAAAATTGTTCAAAAGATTAGAAGTTTGACTATTATCGTGTATACTATACTTCTCATCTACAAGCATTATTTGTGAACTAATTCCAGGCTCTTTAACTGGTTGCCGTCTAATAGCCATTGATTTTGCTAAGCATTGCTTCAACATCGCCGCGTTGGGACACCATAAGCTACTCATACTTGTGTTTATATGCACTGTTGGTATACTTAAATTATTTGTATCATTAGGTGGTATGGGAATAACAGACATTTTAAAGTCACTTAGACTTGGAGTAGAGCCCATAATTGTTACTAAAGGAGTTCCTAGTTTACCATCTACACCTTTTAGTATGCCAAGAGAATATTCTTCATTATTCAATAACTGTTCATCTTCTCCAGGATCAATATATACATACCATACTAGAGACACTGATGACACAGAATTATTTGTTTCATATATAATTCGTGTAGTCCAATCAGTATTCGATGCATCTGCTTTTCTATTATTATTTGGTCTCAAAAATATAGTTTGTAATTTGAAACCATTTTCTTTTCCATCATTGATTACTTGATGTCCATAATTTACAGCATCATGCTCCACATAACCATATACTAAATTTTCGTGAGCATTATCACACATATGACGAATTGAAGAGTCTATTGATCCAGTCCTCATCAAACTATTTTGTGTATACCACATAAGGCCAGCAGCGACAGAACCTTTTCCCAATGGTTCCTTAGTGCGTAATCCAAAGTAAGCACCTGGTCTGTAAGTACCCCATAGTGTTAGGTCATTATTTTTCTGTATAACCTGCAAGAAAATTTCATTAAGATTTCTTACATAATATTATCAAACTAAGTAATTATAATATTGTGGACCTAATGAAGCAGAGAATAGTCTAATGAAAATGTTTATTCTGACAAATAAATCTAAATGCTATTAAATATATATAAGACTTCTATTATTCTTTTTATGGGTAAATATAAAAATAATTTAATTTGATGATTGAAATTAAAACAGCTTACTTAAATTAATCTAAGAATTGTTAAAGTGTATCTATTATTAAAAATTGTTTTACTTTATTTTGTTTATTTGAATAAGCATATAATGTACAAGTATTGAAAAAAATATTTTTAATAGAATGTAATTTCAAGGAAATTTGTTCTTCAATAGGTTTTAAAAAACAAAATTAAATTAAATTATTTTTATACACCATATTTGTTCAAATGATGTTTAAAGGAATACTTTAGGCCCTTCATAGGGATAGTTGACAGCTCTTGTATCTAAATAGCCACGATAGGTCAATGCAACAATTCCACAGAGTAACACAACTGTCGATAATATCCATATTCGACTTGAAGTAAACTTGTCTTCAAAAATATTGTCCCGATTGTTTTCAGATTGGGCTTTCGGTTGCCGACGTCCTTCTGTTCTAAGGATGCCCTGGCGATCAATGATAGCAGTAGTCGGAGAAAATCTTACAGTCGGAGTCGGGGAGCTGGTTTTTTTTTTAACTGCAACACCCTAATCAATATCGATATTCCATAATTATTGCACTGGTCAACAATAAATAACGTAACATCGTTGCAATCGTATACGTACCATATCCATATACGCAGCGTGACACTAGTAAAAAATTACAACTCATATATACGTGTATCATGTAATATTTAATCATAAAAACTATAAAAATATATAACAAAAAAAGTATTCGTAACAAAAAATAATAATTACTTTTATTAATCACAATAACAGTCGACGTGCTGTGTTATCTGTTATCACTGTTAGGAAACCGTCTTATCAGCCGGGCGGTTACGTGGGCGATGTTTCAGATAATACAAAAAAAAATTGCGAAAATGTGTGCAGTCCTTACAAACATAATAATATTATCATTATAATATTAATATTGTACATTTGTAAATTTTCAAGTAGCAACAACATAATATAACGTGGAAATGTAATAATATTGGGCTAGCGGCGGGGTAAACCAGCGCAATTCGTTCGAGATCGTTGTCCCCCCCCCCCACCATCGTTGCAGTCTAGCCATAGAATTATCAATTATGGTTTTTGCACAACAGCTGCATTTTATCAGAGGTGATATCGGCAGCGATCAAGGCTTGACGATACGCACACACATACGCAACACACTACTCACCCACATCACACACACTCACGCCCGACCGAAGTCGTGCAATAATTGCACGCTCGCAGTGATTATAATATTAAAACATTGATAACGGGTGCCCTCGGTTGCCAGCCAGTGGTGAGCGGAGTGAGAGTGACTAGATAAAAAAAATATTGTTATTATTACCTACTACTTTGCTCAAGGAAACGGATTATAATAATAATAATAATAATTACACATATCGTTTGTTGCAGTAGTGTTGTACAGTCGACCAACGTTCCGTTGCAACGAATGTCGCCGTTCACTGTCGCCACCGCCTCCGCCGTTCACAGTTCGCGATCGACACACCGTGTGCAATCATCATCGCTATCGATACACAAACAACATTTAAGAATTATGTTTTTTCGGTAATGTGTAACGTAATATAAATCCGTCGTCGTCACTCTCGTAACAGCTTCCGTCATACTCACACACACACACACACATACACATTCATCATATTCTACAACTAAGGCACACATAATATACACACACACACACTCACACTCACAACACAAACACATCACACCACACTAGTTTTGTAATACCAAATATTGTTTTCGAACTTTCGTACTTTTGACCGTCGCGCAGGGTCTGGATAAACGTGTGCACTTACGTTTTGAACGAATAACGTTTTTCGTCCGTCCGCCCGCCCGGTGCCAGACACCCAGACGTCTACGTGAACAGCGGCCCGTCGTACACGATATACCGCGATGGCCAAGACTTACGACTACCTGTTCAAGTTGCTACTGATCGGTGATTCTGGTGTGGGAAAGACGTGCGTGTTGTTCCGTTTTAGCGAAGATGCATTTAATACGACTTTCATATCTACAATCGGTATTGATTTCAAAATACGAACTATTGAAATGGATGGAAAGAAAATTAAATTACAAATTTGGTGAGTTGTTTTAATAGGTATTCAAGAGCTTCACTTTTATCTGTGATCAGTTTTAAATACAATTTTTTTTTTGCCCCATGTGCCTGCCACTGTCTGAATAGACTTTTAATTTCAAATAAATTTAAACTTACTGTCTTCTTGCAGGGATACTGCTGGCCAAGAACGTTTTAGGACAATCACGACAGCTTATTACCGAGGTGCCATGGGCATTATGTTAGTATATGATGTCACCAATGAAAAATCATTCGACAATATCAAAAATTGGATACGTAATATAGAGGAAAATGCATCAGCTGATGTAGAAAAAATGCTGCTAGGGAACAAATGTGAACTTAATTCAGGGCGTCAGGTAAATGTCACTAAAAATAGATTTGTCTACTTGTATCACATAATAAATTATATTATCTAAACATAAAGAACTACTTCTAAATATACCCATGAAAAAAATTTAATTGACAACATACACACTTAAAAATTGTTCATTATCTATTTAACTGAAGGTTATAGTAAACTAAAATGGTTACTGTTTATTTATTTTAGGTATCAAAAGAACGTGGTGAACAATTAGCAGTAGAGTATGGTATAAAATTCATGGAGACATCAGCAAAGGCTAGTGTCAATGTTGAAGAGGCTTTTCACACTCTGGCCAGAGACATCAAGACAAAAACAGAAAAGAAACTGGTTTGTTTACTAGAAATTAAATTTATTCAGTACCTTCTAGTAACTATTACAAATAGTAGCAAAGTTTACAAATTTCATGAAATACTATATATTTCATTTTTATTGTGTAATAATTAATATATATTTTTTTGATGTATTTTTTAAAACATCATCCATTGGCTGTTGCTGACAACGTTGGATAATATGGATTTTTTTTTTTATTTCCCAATTCGATGTTGGTGTTACATAGAAGGTTAGAGTGTATGTGTGTACGAGTAGTTGTTTAGTGTTTGAGTTTTAAATAATCAGTTTTTTTAGAATTCTTAACTATCTTAATGGTTTTTATTATGATTGAATGTTAAAATAGTTAATGTTTAACAAGTCAATAACAATACTTAAAAAGCTTTATTACACAAAAAACCCTAATTTTTAATTTGTTTGAATTAATTATTTCTATTACATTCAATTTGGCTTTAATATTTCAATAATAATCCAATGACCAGTGGCTCCCAAACTTTGTTTTGACTTGTGGCACCTTTTTTAAACTACGGTTTTTCTCTAGCACCTTTCTCTAAGTCAAAACACTAATCTTAAGAATATTGGTGCCGTATTTTGAGTTTTTAATTTATTACCAAGCAATATTATTATACCATGCCTCATACTTTTAAAGACTGCGGCTCTCCAGTGTGTCATGACCTATACTTTGGGAACCACTACTCAATAACTTTTTTAAATTATTGTTATTTAATATAAATTGACTATTGATTTATGTTTTATTTAATTTATTTGTAGTTAACAATTTAGTCATTTATTTTGTTTGTACTCTCGTTTTTAACATTTATTCTGGAAAGTTCTAAATTTTTTTTTTTGCAAAATAATAGATATGAAATGGCATTTTAGGAAAACACAAATTAGTAAGGTTTATAATTTTAAAATGTTTAGACATGAAACTTAAATTTCAATTTTCACTTGTATTGTATTATGTAAATATTTTTTTATAGAATTTTCTTTTTGCAATTTTGGTGTCTAACTACCTACTTTTCTTATGTGCTCCGTAGGAAGCATCCAATCCTCCAAAAGGTGGTGTACAGTCTAGTGGTGGTCACCATTTAAGAGATAATAATGGAACAAAGAAACTTGGTCAAGGTGGTGGAAGTGCAGCTGCACTCAATTGGTTGTCATCAAGATGTACAGTGCTCTGACCACGATTAGCATATTATCATGGTTCAATTAAAAAACAACAAATGTACACCTTGAATACCGTTGTCAACATGACCGTTAATTAAAAAAATTATTATATTATCTTTTTCTAATACTAATAATTGTTTTTAATGGAAACTGAATCTCTCCGGTATTATGTATTTCTTAATTATATGAAAATACGAACTTCTTTCATTTTTTTATACGTACAATTTTTTTTTAAATTGTAGAAAGTAATTATATAGGATATATATTCTTGATTAATTAATTAAATTGAAAAGCAATAATATTATTATTTCATTTTTATGATTTTCATTTAATAAGTTGAACAATTTGTTTTGCAATATTTCTGTCTAAGACTTATCACTATTTAACTTTTTAATTGTCTAACTTATAGGTTATCATCGTATTATAATATATTCTGTTTTTCAACAATTTTATATATTAGTAAGAAAAAAAAAAGCCGCCGACAAAAACAACACATGTTCTTTATTATTTTATTTTATATATTGTATTATATAATAAATTATATAAACAAAAACATATTACAATACTTACATTATTATTACTACTATTTTTTAATAATATATAATAATTCATACTAATAATATTATTATTACCATTATCCATTATTGAGAAATATTTATATATAGCAAATTTACACATAAAATAATCAAACATAGAATTTATTTAAAATCTGATAATATAATATTAAATTATATAATTGATTTACCTCGCAGGCTGATATTTAACTATTCACTATTTAGAACTAATTCTTACCATTTTACTGTAACTGCACAGCCTTAATTCAATTTTGCTTCTCCTTTACCTTAAATGTCTCCCAAATTTTAATGTCATACATCACAGCTATACTCAATGGCACATTAACTTTTATGCATCAGTCTGGTAATATATTTTATCATAAAACTATGTTTAGTTTTTGCTTGTTTTATGTTCCCCCATTCCTTCTCAACAGAAAATTATTTTTATGTAATTTATCATTATGTAAGTAACCAGTTAAAAAATACCCAGAAGTAGTTAGTTATTAAGCTGCTGAGTCAATAATGGTAATAATTTTAAAATAATTCTTCAATCTATATTATACATAGGTTTGATAAAATGCACACCATGCAAAATGTGTAGTATAATATAATGTATTAAGAGAAGTGATGTTTGAAACACACTGACATACTGAAGATAATGGCATGTAACTTTGTGCATAGAAAGAGGAATATTTAAATATTTATGTAAATAGTTGTTATTATTATTAAGATAGGTGATAGTCAAAATACTTCGTATTAATAGAACCTACCTATCTAAAACGACAATACAGTTGTATGTATTTAAAGTCCAGTATTTTGTAGTACAAAAATATATACTAAACTATGATAATGTAGCTCACATAATCAAATTATGAATAAAAATTATCCAGAATGACTTGATCATCCTGTGTAACTAACTCAACAAATTAATGAGAATTTTTTTTAAATATGTCTAACTGGTACTTTATATATATATATATATATCCCCCTATTTGCTATTAAAACTAACTATAAGTTTTAATCTCTTAGGTAGCTAGGTAGTAGTCAGTAGGTTTTTCGCCAATAAAAGAATGATGATAATATTTGTTTGTATTATTTTATAATTAATTTCAGAGACTAATTATGATATTTGAAGGTCATATATATATTATAACAATTTTCTAGTAAACTATTTAAAAATAATTTTCCTTCCAATTTTTTACAGGGTTAGGACTGACAAGAAAATTAAATTGTAGGCCTAGTTAAAAATTTCAAATTACATATTTTTTTAATACTAATAATAATAATAATAATATAATTTACAATTTTGTGGCATACAATTTTATTCCCATTACTTTCAAATATTCCAGCATAGATATTTCATTTTTTTTTTAAATTTTGTCCATATTTTTGTTATAAATGTCAATTTGTCAACTTGTTCTTTTCGGGATTTGTTTTTATTATTTGTTTTAATACTATTAATTTTTAAATAAGTTTCACTTTGAATGTCTAATAATTTATTAATAACTTCACGAATTGAAGGATGTGAAGTGTAAAACTCTGAATTATAATGTCTGTGGAATGATTCTGGTCCATTGGTCTAGCTTCTTCTGAAGGTTCACCAGCCCACAAAATTAGAGGAAAAACCGCATCAGGACATGCATAATTGTCAAATATATAATCCGAAAAATAAAAGTTGTCAGTAGGAGCATTTTCGATTAAACAAGAAAAGCCATCACCGACTAAATTTTCGGGTAAAAAACCAAGAGCGAAAAAACATTTTAATCAAAGGCCTATTTCTGACTTTGAATTATATTCTTTTAATTAGTTGATATTGCTTTGGATTTTGACCTAAATGGAATCTACAGACCATAATTTTGCTATTTGGAAAACATTCTTTAATAGCAATTTTTTCAAAATCGAAATGAAAATTACAACTAGCCAATCGCCAATGATATTAATAAATGTATGCCTGTCAACTTAAAACAATTTTATAATAGTGCACTACATATCTACACAATATTCAGTTAATTTTGACGTCAAAAAACATCATGTTAAAGGAATATAAAAACCGTTTTGTTGCGTATGAATTGTATGAAGTTGATCATAGTATTTTGGTAAATGTAAAAATGTGCCATCGGCAAAAATATGATTTTAACGACTTAATATAGATATCGAGATTAGTTGGGCAAGTCAATAAGACTATATTTGAAATGTCTTCCATGTAGCAAAAATATTCATCTATATTAATTTTAAGAGTATCACCCAAGTTAAATAATTGAAATTTTGAGTCTTCCAGAGACTTTGCAATTGTTGGCAACTCTTTTTTACGGAAATCGTACATACATTTTCTCCACAATCTATAATGTCTGAATGAACGGTTTTTTATCCAACAGAATTTTGTAAGAATTTAATTCAATTTACATGTTGTGTAAAAAATATAAATCTGTTTGATGAAAAATTCATAATTAAAAGAAAAAATGGATTTTTTGTTAATTTTGTAACATAAACATATTTTTTTCTTGATTTTCTATCAAACAGAATTTTTTTATGATTAACATTTATTAATTTTTTAAAAAAATGTTTAATTTTAATTTTTTAAACTAGATTTTTTAAATTAAGAATTTTTGACCAAATAGTTTTTAATTCAATTTCCAATTTTTTTTATCAAGTAAGAATTTTTTTCACCAAAAGTCGATTTTTTTTATTAATTTTGTGTTTTTTATTATATATTTTTTATGAAACAGATTTTTTAAAAATATATATGTTTTATCCAACATTTTTTATTAATCATTTTATTAAATATAATTTTTTTAAATTATATATCTTTTAATGGATGAATTTTTCATCAAAAAGATTTTTATTCAATTTATATTTTTACAAAAATTGTACCTATATTGAATTAAAATCTTAAAAAAATTTTGTTGGATAAAAAAATCTATGAAAAAAACTAATAAAAATCTAAAATAATAAAAAAATCTATTTTTTATAAGAAATATAACTAAGGTAATTAATAAAAAAGTTTATTACATAAAAATTCATAGTTAAATTAAAATCTTAAAAAAAACTGTTAAATAAAAAATCTACATTTAATAAAAAAAATCTGAATTTGATAAAGCAATTTATATTCCAAAAAATCTGTATTTAATAAAATAATCTGTATTTCATAAAAAATCTAAATTTGAATAGTAAAATTAATAAAAAATATATTCTTGATATAACAATTTATATTCAAAAAAATCTGTATTAAATTAAAAAATATTTATTTAATACAAAATATGTACTTGATAAAAGTTCTATACTAATAAAAACTAAAAATTAAAATGACTAAAGATATATATTAAATATAATTATTGAAATGATTCAAAATGATAAATCGCTGTTACATTTTTAATTATTTATTGTAGAAAATTGCATTTATTAATTTTATAAATGTTATTTTAAATATGATTTTTTTAAATTATATTAATTATTTTACTAATTATTATGTTTTTTATTAGTTTTATATATACCTACATTAATTTTATAAAGTATTTCTGAGCCGTTTTTGGCCATTTTTAAAAAGAATTTTTGTTAATACTTAATATTATACAGAATTCTACCTACTAATTATTCTGAATATTATATTTTTTACAAATTATTAAAATATAATGATTTTATTTGCCATTTTTATTAATTTTTTGATTTAACGAGTACATCTTATTAATTATTATATGAAAAAAAGTAACTGATTTTTAGCTAAGTTACGTTAACACTAAACTTAACTTACATTGTTTCCATATTAACTTAACTTAACGAGTTTAAAAAAAATAGTTAACTTGCCCATAGCTTTGTATATTTAAAAACAATTTACCTACTATAAATCATACCTATACTTTTAAAAAGTTTTTTTTCAGAACCTACCTTTTGTACAAATACTAAGGTAGGTAAATTGTTACAAATGTTTAAACCTTTAAACAAATTCAATCATAAATGTCGTTCTCTGTCTGTCATCTAACGGTGCGCAGGTGGGGTTGGCCCCCCACACTAAAATGGAAATTGCGGGGCAGCGAGTGATTTGCAAATTCTGAAAATGAGTTTGCAAATTATTGCAAACTATTTGCAAAATATTGGCACCGGCCCGAGATTGATCGGACGATGTGAGGGGGCCAACTTCACTGACATCGAAACAGTTAACAGTCAACAACCAACATTCAATTATAGCTCAAATATAAAATCCAATCACGACATTATCATTGATATCTATAGTCTATGGATATTGGATAAGATAAATTAACAATAAAGCATCATCACGATTACCCAGCTGTATACATATTAGGAATTCAAGTCCAAGGAAACCAAGTCCGACTGTATTTTTAAATAGTGTACTAGAAAATTGTTAGAATATATATATATATGACATATACATAAAATACGGGACATACATATATATATATTGGAACGCAATCGTATTGCCTTTTTTGAATTGAAAAATTTAAGCCGGGCGCAATCGTGCTGCACCGCAAATTAGTACCTAATTATCATCCGGTGTTCAGGTTGCAAGTCGTATGTAATGGTTTGTAAAGATATTTTCATTTCGTTTGAATCGTTTGATAAATAATTCGTTAAGGAATAAGGATAAAAGGCATTTTTTTGATAAGTGCCGTAGATATGACTCAACATTTTTTAATTTCCGTCTAGTATACCACAATATGTTGGTTCGCCATTTATTATGGTTTGTTAAGATATTAATTTCGTTTGTATACAATTCGATAATATATAGTTAATAATTACCTTCAATAAACTACTAATATACCTAATTTAATTTGTCTTGTATGTAACTGGTTCGTACTTATTATACCTATATACCTAATTTTTGCATTGGCGCACATACATCAACACCCCCAAGTCCTCAATTAGCACCCCCAGTTTATTTTGAGTAAAAACTGTT